TAATTGTTTATTTTATGTATCACATAGATAAAATGAAACTTTAAATCTAATATTAAACTTGGTCTAATCTTATTAGACTTTATTATACTTTGATCCAGCTTGCTTAGGTGTGTGACCTATAGGATCGCATAATATTAGTAATGGATTTCCAAATCCATAGATTATAAGCGGTCTCTAGCAAAACATTATAACTATTTAATATTATACGATTGTCAAACCTCGACATCACAACTTTAACTAGAGTAAAGTACAAATGATTTCAGGACATTCCCAACAATTGTTGTGGTGGAAGAACCCAAACCAGAGATTCTGAGGAAAAGAATTAATCGAGGCAGTCTCTGCTCATTTTGAAGACTCCACAAGCCAAGACTTTTGCTCTTCTACACCTACCTACTCTCTCTGTCTTCCGGAATTACTATAATTCTAAGGTTCATTCTGTTGAAACCTGGTTTATGGAAGTAAAATCTAAAGCAATATGTTGAAACCAAGCTATCCCAGCAGCATTAAACTGGTAAGTTAGGATACAATAAGATACCATATGAGCTCTTGAAACTTCACCATTATCTAACTTGTTGAAACGAAAAAAAGCTATCATGATTCAAGTTGAATGAATACAGAGGAAAGTACAAACAAGCATTTCTCTATTAAGTTAAGATTCAACATGTTGTGTCCATGCCTACCCAATTCAGCGAGCTGAATTCTACTAAAGTGTACTTACAAGTAAAGCGAATTTGCAAACATAATACCTCGCCGCAAGCTCTCGCTAGCAGCTGCAAACTTGCTTTCCAAACTGCTTTCTCCAACTGCATCTGCTGCAGCTCGAAGCTGAAAAAAATCACCAATCAAAGTGTAATGAGATTTCCTAGAGGTTCAAAGGAATGTAATTGCAGATGATGATACATAGAGTATAGCGAAGTTACCTGGTTCAGAAACTCGTCGAGCCTTCTAGCGCTCCTAATGATACTACCCTCGAATATGTCAGTCATTTGTATAATCTCTGCAAAGGTCGCCCCCTTTCAAAGAGAAACAAGCGAGAATATCAAATATGGCATGTGCATTATTATGTTTGATGAACAGGTAATTTTATCAATTATCCAGGCAACCAGCTATTCCCATTTGTGTTTTTTCTAATGATCAAACAGAGCTTTAGAGACTGCGGAAATCCTTAAGAGAAGAGGAACGGTAGGAAGTAGGAACTATTCCCAAGGAATCAAGAATCTACAAATTATGTTTTTGACCAAAGGCTTCCTCCAAATCTGGGATTCAAATTCAAAGCCATACAAGGGTTGTTATAGGGAAGTTATACTAACACAGTTTGTGGCTGTGAAAGGGAAGATAAACTAAACGAATACTTGAATTGGATAAGTGGCCATGTTGGTTCAAGAGCAGAGTTGAACTGTCAACATGTCTAAATAAGAATGCGAGGGAGGTTTACAAGTTTATATAAGCAGTCTCAGGTTGAGGACTAGCTGCAATCGAGGGGATGGACGCATATTTCAACGTCCGACTAGTTAGGGTCATTGATTTGAATGAAGATGGACTAGTAGGTAATGTTGAGAAAATAGGTGTAATTCTTATCAGAATTTCTGAGATTGAGTAGCACCAACCTTTGACCAAGAGTAGATAACGTCCATCAGGTAAGGCCTTATAGTGGATTCTACATACTCTTCAACGTTAATTTCAAGTTTGCATTCATGTTGTATCTGGCATCACAAAAAGATGGCGATTAGTATTACCCAAAAAAATTGCTCATGCAGATAAATAAACAAGCTTTAAGCAGGGAAACTCAATTACCTCTGCAATTTTTCGTGCACTATCTTGGAGCTGCTGCAAGGGTTTAGTAAGTTCATTTCTTAAATTTACCTGTTCATTTGATTTATCTACGGGAATGAAACAGCTTGCAAGGGCTGCTACTTGGTGATGATCCAGATCATTAAAAGTACCTGATACGGATTTTAAAGTGAACATACCACAAGGATATATGTTGTGATGCAGCCAAAAAAACATAGAACTGGGTAGCTAAAGCAGTTGTCGTACCATTAAACATCAGTTCAGTGACAAGCAATTCATCCCCTGTGTCTATCAAGCAGGCAGCTCGTCCCTTTAACTGGACAACACCATCCGCATCAATGTGTCCAAGTTTCTTTAACACCCGAGAACGGTTTCTAAGCTCATCTCGAAACTTTTGGAGCTGCAGAGATAAACAATATGATATAAAACACCAGAGGATGAAAAGGGATCTCAAACTATATCAGAGTCTGGTAAATCAATGAACATTCTAAAATCTTGTTTGCTTTTCTGTATGTAAGAGGGTGAGAGATGATTCTTCTCCCTATTACACTGTTCCAGTCTATACGGAGCTATACAATAAAAATTAAAATTAAACGCAGCTAAAAATGGATACAAGCAGAATTTAACAAGTGGTATCAATTTTGCCATGTAAAAATCCTACTGAAAAGAAGATATTCCTTGCAGACACTCATAGCGATGGTTCCAAATCTGGTTAAACAACGAATAATATCCACCCAGCTTAATTTATTCCTGGATGAGCAAGTATATAATATACCTGAGAATCACGCATTTTTGATTTGAGCTGTTGAACTTCATAATTCAACTCCGCTTTCCTTTGGAAACTCTTAATTTGTTGATCATCTTGAGACTGCAACACAGAAAAAAATGAGACATTAGATATACTGATGAAGTGCTTAAGCTCTTAATATGCTTTCTGAAAATTTTGTCCTCCTTTCTTCAAACTCAGATTTAAAATGACAAGTTAAGGGAATACTGAATGCAGCAAGACCTTGTGCGTCGGATGAGCAAGTAACTTCTGCTCAACTTCTTCGATTTGGCTGACCAGATCCACTATCCCTGTATCTTGAATATTCATGTCCTGTAGATTATTTTAGATGCAATGAGACTCTGAATGCCATTTTATGCTAATATACTATTTCAAAAACTGAAGCCTAGCATATACAGTATGCAATACGAGATTGATGAGTCCACATACACTAACTCTAAAAACATCGAAACAAAAGGGTGACATATAAGTCATTTCTAGACAACAAGGAAACAGCATATTGTCAGCACGTTAAAATATTGTGTAAATCCCTTCATTGAAGATAGCACTACGTAGTAGCTTAAAGAGAAACCTTGACTGGATGGAGTTTTGGGAACCCTAAAGGGAAGCGACTTGACAACTCCTGTACTGCGAGTAGTATGCTTTGTCTTGATTCTAGTGGCCGAAGATCAGAAGGAACTGATATCCTTAGTCTGCTCATAGCAGAAATTAAGGGTAGCTGTACAGGAACCTACAAAACACAAAAGCACAATTCTGAAAACTCCACAACTCTATGTGAATGGAATAACACAAGTCCAGTGACAATCAAAGTGTGCTCACCACATGCATCTCACCCTTTTCCCCAGGACGGGGAGGACATGGCTTTGGCTTGGCACCATTCTCGCTAAAACCAGAGGAGCAATGAAGTAGAGTATCCACAATATATCCGCCACCATGTGAAGATGCGGAACCAGTTCCAACTGAAGATTGTTTCACAACATTAACTACAACTCCCCAACCCCAGTCTGTTCCACTTTCTCGTATCTTAACCTGTACAGAAACACTTGTCCCATTAAGTTATTGTGATGCTCTTGTTATATCAAAAACTTACAGCCATGATCTGTAGTCATATACAATGTATTCCACTGATGTAATTAGCTTTAGAAAAATTGAACGCATGAAAGAAACTTTTGTCATAACATAAAGGAACAGCATGATGGAACAGCACGATGGAACAGCATGATGGAACAGCCATGACATTCATCCTTTAAGCAATATGAAGGTGATTGACCTGTAACAATCTAGGTACAACCTATGAGTGGTAGCTATAGAGGAAACATTACTAACTATCCTTGTCTGATAGTAGATGAGAGCTGGGAAATTATAATCAGTAAATCATCAATAACAAAACACAAGACCGCTTTAGGACATAGTGTTTTTTCCAAGATAAGGACGAATAACCGTGAAACCAATCTACCATGTGCAGGCTGCAGGATGGAAATTAGTGACTCAATATCTCTAGACTTTAATCAAGCATCTGAACTTTATGAAAACTTACCAGCCGACCAGTATCAAGAAAACAAAGAACCCTTTCTGGCCTTATTATTTCTGACATAAGTTTCTTTTCAAGTTGAGCTATGTCAAGTTTTAGCCTATGGTACTCAGCAACGTCCGCCTGCAAATATTTTAAGATGTGAGAACGTGATTTAATTACAGACTTCAGATTAGAAAGTGCTGAGCACCTCTCCAGAAGCATCAAGGATGGCAGCTTCCTCTTCAAGTTTAGACACCTTATTCTCAATATTCGGTAAAGCCTGTGGTTGGAGCACCAACGTAAATTAGCATAAAACAAATTTTAGAAAAAATTAAGAGAGAGAAAAGGAAGAGCATCCAACAGCTACCTTTTCATACTGGAATTGGTGGAACGAGTGCTTTATCACATGCTCAGCTGTAAATTGTCCTTCCGCACGACTCAATAAATTCAAAATTGTGTAGTAACTTAACCTAAAAGTACTAAGCAGAGGGGCTGGTTTGCCCAACATCATGTCCCTGAGTGTATTCAACTCCATCTGTTGAAGAGCATCATACAAAAAAACTAAGAGATTAGAAAAGACAAGAAAATTATCTTGAATCAATCCTCTTCGAAGACAGCATAAAGGCTACAATTCTTTGGTGCATATAATATGATGTATAATATAGCTATAATAGGCAGATAAATCGAAATATTACTGGAAGATGGGAGAAATTGATTTTAAAAATAACAGGATGACTGAATCATTAGAAAAAACACAAATGGGAATAGCTGGTTGCCTGGATAATAATCAATAAAATTACCTGTTCATCAATCATAATAATGCAGATGCCACGTTCGTCCTTGCCACGACGTCCAGCTCTGCCGCTCATCTGAAAGCATACAATAATATTACTACAGTCTCATTTTGTGCCACTTTGTCAAATTTACCGCTAGCATCAACAAAATACCACCCACCTGGATATATTCACCAGACCCAATGTAACGATGGCTGTCACCGTCCCACTTCTTAACAGAAGTAAACACTACAGTTTTTGCGGGCATGTTCAAACCCATAGCAAACTGAACAAAAGCAGCGATTCAGTTTTTTTTTAATAAAATTAGCACAACAGAGTTTAACGTAAATTAAACAATTGAAAAAAAGATAAAATAATTCCAAAATATCTTACAGTTTCTGTGGCGAACAGCGCTTTTACAAGTCCTTCCTGAAAAAGAAGTTCCACTAATTCCTTGATGACAGGAAGAAGACCAGAATGGTGGACAGCAATACCACGTTGGAGCAGTGGCAACATCAGTTCAATGGCAGGTAAAGATCTATCCTCCTCATTCAAACACTGAATAGCATTACTGAACACCTGTTCCACAACCTCCTTCTCTTCTTCTGTATTGAAATCAAGTTTTGACATTGACAATGCATGCTGTTCACACTCTCTTCTACTGAAGCTGAAGATTATGACTGGTTCAAATTTTCTTTCCATGATCATCTGCAACAATGGATAAGAATTAAGTAACAAACCTACAGGATGTACATTTCAATGTAAGATAATTACAAGTCTATTACAACACATGAGTTTGAAGCATAAAAGAAGAAAATAGATTGAAAATACAAGTTTGCCGGGCAGCAACATCCAAAACCATAGCTTCAATGCTTTGATAGCAAAAAAAAAATATATAACTTGGTCCCTGAATCTAAATTTTTCGTACCAACTCAGAGTAGCAGAATAAACTTCAAGAGGATGTGTGCATAAGCAGAATTTGGAAATGCCTAAACTAAAAATTAAAGAGAGACCCATAGGACAACATAGGACACCCATAAACAATATACAAGCGCATACCTTTACAATTTTGTAAACATCGGAATCACCAGAGCCGCCACCACCACCTTTAGCACCCCTACCACCTGATTTGCCATTTGCACTCTTCTTTCCGTCAACAGATTTCGGTTTTGGGAAAGTATCCTGCATCTTAACGAAATTATCCTCCCGAAAGTTCTCATTGTCATCGACCACAAGGTACAGTCCACTGCCACCCACAGGAAAAGCATAATGCTGCAGAGGTGTTGGCCTGAAATCCGTGTACACAACATGACACGGCTGCTTGTGGATATAGCAAATCCATTCAGCAAACTCAGTAGCATTGGACATTGTAGCAGAAAGAAAAACCATCTTAATAGCAGGTGGCAAGAAAATGATACTCTCTTCCCAAACAACCCCTCTTTCCCTATCTTTCATGTAATGAATTTCATCAAAAATAACCCAAGCAACCTCCTTTAAAACCTCGGATCCTCTGTAAAGCATCGCTCTGAGGATCTCTGTAGTCATAACCAAACAACTAGCATTAGGTGAGAGAGTGACATCACCAGTCATCAAACCAACATCCTGAAACTCATGCTGCAACTCTCTGTACTTCTGATTACTCAAGGCTTTCAAGGGGGAAGTATATATAACCCTCTGCTTATCTCGAAACGCCATTGCAATAGCATACTCTGCAACTGCGGTTTTACCTGCGGAAGTGTGGGCAGAAACCAAAATCGATTCTTTTCTCTCTAAGCAAGCTACAGAGACACTCTGAAAAGGGTCGAGCTGAAAAGGGTACGTTTTGGCCATATCGCCATTGAAGACGGGATTATCAAGAGTCCCATGAATCGACTCCTCTTTTGTTGGTGTAAAACCATTCGGAACAGCAACTTCATGTACACACGCCCGTTTCTGGCTGTTCCTACGCTTCGTCGTCGGTTCTGGCGTAGGGTTCGCATCAGAAAGCTCTGACTTCTCCTCTACTTTTCTTTTGCCCAGCGTCTCCGGATCTTCCATTCCTGTGAAAGCCGAAATAACTTGAAGAAACGAATCGGAATCAATGGGGGAAAAGCTTCAAACTTAGGGTTTCGGCGGATATACAGACTAGGGTTTAGTGAGATGGTAGTCGGCTATAATCCCGTCACTAGACTGGAGGACCCAAGAGATAAATAAACGAAACATATAAAACCGCAAAATTGCGGTTTCAAATTAAAGAATTGGGAAATTTCATAAAAGTACCCTAATTAAATTTCGATAAAAAAATTTGAATGTTTTTTATAATCGTCTAGGT